TTAGTGGCTTCAGGCTGGTGGTGACCTGCGCTGACAAGACTGAGTTTCCTACCTGCTGATGCACCTGGACACCAGGAGGGTTTTAGGGCTGGCGTCTCAAGCTGGATCTGGTTAGAAATTCCAGCACGCAGTAAGCAGGAGCCAAAATTCTGGTCTAGGCCAATGGTATTCTACCTCTGTTAATGCCTGACTTTGAGGAAAGGGCAGGAAAATACTTTTAATCTTTGGAACCTTTTAGGTTCAAAGTTCATTATTAGCCAAACGCAGAGAAAGTTCAAAGTTCTGTGTAAATCAAGGAACAGAAACAACTTCATGTTAATTTTTTCCAGGTCACATCACAGCATATTCACTTGCTATATCAATCCAGATCTGATTTAATATAAGTTGAAAATAAAAAGAAAATCTAATTTTGAAGGTATTCTCCAAATTCTGTTCAGCTAGCAGGGAATCTTCTAGCAGTAGTCAGATTTGTTAACGCATTTCTGGGATATTCATTCTAGAAAAGAATCAGCAAGACCCTTATCCTTCTCCCCTGGTGATGTCTGAGCTTTGCAGGGTTACACAATAGCTTCCACAGCTGTTCTGAGTGAAGCGAGGTACTGGTACTCCTGGTAGCAATGTTAGAAGAATGAAAATGTATCTTTCTTTGTATTCGCAGAGTCCTTTTAATTCGGAATGATTACAGCCCAAACACTGCAATCGTTCTGTTCCCTTCTAAGACACAGTCTGCAGTGGGCCGCGCAGAAACTGTTACTAAATAATAAAGAAAACAAGACAGATTAGGGCATGCACCAGTGCAGCTCAGTGGAGTTCTTTTAAATATTTGCCCCAGTGTGTCACAATCCAGACTGCAAAGGCAGAACAGAAAGTACTGCAGGTCTGTAGGACACAAGGTTTTAAAATATGAGGTTCTACATAGAGCAAGCCATTTTTAAAGGATGAAGTTTAAAATGAAGCTTGCATTCAGAATTTAGGGGAAAACCCCTGATGCCGTGAAAAGCCAGAATTGAAGACTCAACAGTCGTCAGACTATTAAGCAGGTACTCTTTATTGCGGCGCTGGGCACACGGGGGATCTCTCCTCCAAACGTGCACGCCAAACACCCTGTCATTTCAGGTTAAATACAATCACAATATACATATTCATTATATTTCTGAGAAATGCTTATTCATGACTTTTCCAGGAACAGATTAGCATATGTTAATATCTGTCACGCATGTCTGTTAGCGTCCTCGCTAACAGACTTTGGGGGTCTCAGGATGAAGGCTTATACTCCTCATCACAGTGTCCGCTGGTTGACCTTTGTTTCTGCGCAGACTCAGTTCTAAGATCATGTATACTGTGTCCTCCCAGGTTGGTTTGCTCCGGTCTTGTTGCCCTCTTGGTGCCTCTTTATCTCTGCAGCTTGGTGCATCAGCCCTCCCAAGGCTGAGCTGTCCAAGTAACATTATTTAGGAGTCTCTCTATCTTCGAGCTTTCCTATCCCCCCCAAAACAGCAAGTCAAGTTTGTCTAAGTAGTGTTATTTAGGAGCCTCTTTATCTTAGAGCTTTCCTGTCTTCTCAAAACAGCAAGGATCTACTTTAGCTTAATTACAATCACTCTAGTAAGTGGAAATTTTACTTTATGGGTATCACCCCCCTAAACTAATCAAAGTGTTTTCCATAGAAACTCCATATTGGATGCAACCACTGATGCTCAGGGACTGACATTCCATTAGACGAAATAATTCTCTGTGTGCTCACAGTTTAACATAAGAACTGTCATATTCTATACACACACACATTCTCTCCTCTAATGAACTCCCCATAAAAATCTTTTTTTCTCAATTATTCATTAATCACAGCTGTGCCGAAGGGCTCTCGTTTGAAAGTAAAGGAGGGTATTTTCCTTCAGATCAATGACCTGTGTGAACCTAAAATTTGTCAATGTGTTTATGCAGAAGTTCAGGAATCGTGTTGAAGTTGTTATAGTTCATATTTCTGTTCTCCCAGGGAAGAACTGCTCCCCCTTGCTCATCTGTGAAACTCGCACAGCAGAAGTGGGATGCGTTGAATGAGTCTGAACGTGTGGCACAACACGTGCACACTCAATGTGCGTAGCACAGGTTGATATTTGTGTCCCTTGCACAGCAGAATTTTTTGGGTCATGTCCAGTGGCTATTTGTCCAGAATTTCTACGTGTTCTTCATCTGCCACAAGCCTGAAAATCCAGTGGAACCAAAGGGCAGGTAGAAGAGAACGGGCAGGCAATTGCCCACTCAGACGTTAGCCTGGAGCCCCAGCTGGGCCGGGGGTCAGGCAGGTCCCTCCAGCACCGCTGCCAGCCCTCCCACAGCTGCCCGCAGCCAGGCAGCAGCAGAGCCTGCGCGTGCCACACCGAGCCCTTTCCTTCCGCTGCCTCCTCTCCTCCCCGACGGCAGACCGTGGCACCTGCATCCGGCGGCTCAAACCCAGCTATGGACGAGAGAACTATTTGCTCTTGGATGGAAGAGACAGAAAGGGAAAAACAAAGCTTTCGTTTGCCACATCGTTTCCTTCTGTGTCAACCTGTTGCCCAGCCTTTTCCTTTCGGCTCCAAGTGGCTTCCTCCAGGAACAATCAACCACAGCCAGCGCTCTCTCCCAGGAGAGAAGAAACTGCTTTAAGAGGTTCAGGGAAACAGTACGTGCGTATAAGATTGCACTGCCATTGTTCAGTCTGCATTGTCCAGGATATTAATTTAATTTTGGATGCTTCACCACAGTCAGGGAGAAAAACAAGCTCCCTCTAAATTAGATTAGCTGATAGCAAAAGCATCTAATGTGCAGCAAATGGAATTGCATTTTGCTTACATTCAACTAAATTAACACTTGAATCTCTGAAAATTAAGAGGTGTATTATTTAACACATCACTGATATGAAGCTTGCTTAATAATGGTATTTTGATTATGTTTTTCTAATTCAGATCTGGCTGAATGACAATGTGACAACAGTATTTGACAATGACAATAGCATTTACCTGAGAACTAAAATCAGTCTTAAATGACGTTTACATTTATTCCTCTGTAAAAATATATCATTTTAATTAAACAGACACGTCAATTCATTGTGTTGCATAAAATGATTTTCTAAATTGAACCCAAGATAAAAATTGCCTTACTGATAGCAAAGTCAAAATTAAAAATTTGAAATTTCCGCACGTGGCTAAGAAACTGAGTTGAAATGTGAAAACTGGGCGTAGGCAGCACCGCACAGAGGACACCGCTCGTTTAGACCCCCCGTCAGCCCCATCAAACAGTGTAAAATGGGACGGGCTCATCTCCACCGACAGGGGGCGGGCCCTCACCCGGCCCCGCCCTGCCCGCCTGCCCCAGCCCCGCTCCCGCGGCGGGCAGGGAGGATCGCAGCTGGCCCAGGCAGCGCGGGCTGGGCTGCGGTGAGGGGTGGTGGGACAACAGACCCAGCCCCAAGTTCGCAGGAGGAGGGCAGTAGCGACAGAGAAGTTGGCACCACACCAAGTACTCTGAACGGGTCTGAGAGGAAAGGCGTCCCATACTGATACAAAATTGGAGAAACTTAAGTCTGAAAATCATGCTGACTGAAAAGTCACAGTAATCTGGGAAGAGGGGAAAGGACTGAGCTTGGATATGCTGCTCAAGAAGCTGCAAACTGCTGACATGGCTTGGATGTGTGACTAAATTAAAAGGCTGGAGACAGAGATAAAAGGTGATGCTGGGCTGAAGGCACTGGAATGATCCTGAGGATGGGAGAGATGCTGAGAAAGGCACACGTCTGCGCTAGCTTGTAATGACACATGCTGTGTGTAACTAGGGGGAAAAGACAGAATGAAAACTATCGTTACTACTAAAACCGTGACTCTCGTGAAACTTCCAGTTAAGCAAGGTTGTGCCTGAGCCGTATTTGGCTGGGTTACCTGAGCTGCTGAAGGACTGGCTGCATCCGTGAACACATATTTTTACTTTGAAATGCTCAACTCTCACACATAAAGAAACAACCATCTGCTATTGGTAGAAAACTACAGTGCTTTCAGCCAAACAGTAAATAAAACCTAAGTCACTACACAAAACGGAAAGGCCTGGAGAACCTGTACAGTGAAAACTTTCTGAAAGCTTTGTACATGTTGCCAAGTGTTTGGGATGACAATGACCAAGGGATTAGAGATCAAAACATTTATTTTCTCATTTTGCTGGCTTTGTACATCTGGCAGTGTCAGGGTACTGTCCGTTCCACTACGTCCCCTGCTCAGTTACTTACGCCCTCCGTCCAAAAACACGGCTGATTAACAAGGAGCACCGAGCAGTTCTATTAGCACATGAACATGCCTTTGCGTACCTGAGATTTTCTAACACAGGTACAGAGTAACTATTCACAGACTGAAGTGGAAGCCAGCAATCAGAAAACCTTTTACAAACTAGAGAACAAGCTGCAAAACCCACGCAAACTGCAAGGGACCTCAGGCCAAAGAGTTTTCTTTGTAATCATAGCTCAATTTTGCTGGATTAATTTCAATTTTTTTAACATCCTTACACCAGTTTTATCTGACATAGCTTTAGTAAAATTACATACTGATCTTCACATCTTCAAAACCAGATGCCATACAGCAGGACAAGAAGGAAAGTGACACACAAAACCAACATAAGGTGTTGGAAGAATGGATCCGTTGGGATTAAGTAATAATGGCTAAGACCACCTCAGGCATAACTTCCTAAGTAACTGATTTCCCTGTTTCCCAACCCAAATGGAAAACAAAATCCAGAACAAAAATCAATTCAAATCTAACAAAACCATGGATTTGATGGGAAACAGAACATTTTGAGTTTGAGTATTCTAAATTTTTCTGAATTGGAATACATTTAGTAATACAATGTCCTGTCAAAAACATTAAGCAAATATTGTTTTTCAATCTTTCATCTTTTGCTTTTTTAGCTGAAACGCTCTAAGGAAGCATCCCCTGTATTATGCTTGCTTTTAAAGTGGTCTGACGAAATCCAAATGTTAACAAATATTTTCTGGAGACTATTTTGATTGCTGCAAGAGCTCTATTTAGCTTTTTAACAAAGCTTCTTTTATAAGGTCAGCCAGTCTCTTGAAGGCCTGCAATGACACAAATATGATTCATGTTTATATTCCAGCATTACTTAAAGACACCAAACCTGTAAAGCTACTAAAACTACCCTAAGCATATACAAACTCAGTATTTTATATGGCAAAATTGGGCTCATATTCTCTGTTTTCATTTTATTAACAACATGTATGGGCTTTGAGCGGACAAAGCTTCTACTTCGCTGGTAGAAAATAAAAGGCAGGGTTTTATGAAACAGAAAAATAAATATATTGATGTTCAAAGGTTATTTGGAGTTCAGATGCAACTAAACCGTTGTGCTTTTAATACAGCTAGTGATCCCTGGAAGAATATCTATTTTAATATAAGGGCCTAGAGGCCCCAGAGGTGAAAGAAAAGGAAGAACAACTGAATGGGGAAGCATATAAAAGATACAAAATTTGACTGTCAATAGTATGGTTATGAATTACTTTTACAAAGAAGAAGGAAGAAATAATAAAAGACACAGAGAAGCGCTTATCTGTTACAAACTTTCACAACTGAAGTACAGCTAGAAATATGGAACTGTTTCAAGCACCTGAATCAAACGAGTAAGAAATCTGCACAAATAAATGTGTCCTATCTTTCTTCCCACTGCTTCTACAGATACAGCCAAATAACATCCAAAATGTTCCTAAAATACGCAGAAGACTAGTTTCTGAGAAATTAAATACAACATACATGTCAACTGCATAAAAGAAAAACAATACTCTTTCTCATAAAGGATTGACAACACACACACACAAAAGAAAGCACGTAATTCAGTCTCAGGAATGGAAAGTCTGGGAAATAAAAGATACGTGATGCCTACTGATGCTAAAGCAAATAGCAAAACTTATTCTGACTTCAGTAAAGCCCTTATGAATAATGTCGGGGAGGACTAAGTGTGAGACTCTGCATGTATGAGATATGCAAAAATATTTTAAGTGCTCCTAAAAAATGTGGTACCTTTCAGGTCATTTGGATATAAGTATCTTGCCTAAGAAACAGCTAATACTGCTTCAAAAGTACTGCTTAACCACCTATGCACTAAAAAAACTACGCTAACATTCAAGACAACACCTAAGAAGAAGTAAGCAAAAATAAGGGAGCATTATTATGTGAGAAACTGCCTTGGTAAGAATGTAAAAAAAAAATCTCACTCACCAGATCCATCTGGGCTGGAGAAGACAGAGAGAAGGAGGCTCTGACGTAAGAACTAGGCTCTGAGCTATCGATATTGAATGCTCCTCCAGGAACCAGTAACACCTAAGAAAAATTAGCCACTCAGTTATCACCAATTCTACATTTTTAAAATGCTATGTTAAATTAAATTTGAGGAGACTCACTGCTGAAACACTGCTATCAGAACATGGCTTAATATATTTCTTCTCTTCAAAATGAGAAGCCAAAAATATGCAACCTGGAATCAGATTTTTCAGAACAAAATCAAAGGGCTCTTAGGTTGTGGTTACCTACACTGGTGGGTTACCAGGTCTGCCTTATCATCACGATGTTTAGAAGCACCAGTGAGGTGGGATGTAGTTTACTCAGTACACAGTGCTGGCTCTTACATATTGCAGAAATAAAATCACACTTCTCTTTTAAAAAGATATAGTGGACAGCCATCATTCATATAGGTACATATATTAATATTATAGATATGTGGTATACATGGCATTGTACTATATATTATAATGGTTTAAGTAAGCTGATAAATATCAACATCTGAATACAGACCTGAAAATGTTTCATTAATGAGTCACTATGTGACAATGCCTGACTTGCAGACTCAATGATGGTGCACAACAAGCTCCCCTGCTTTTTTATGTACGTGCCTATGTGTGGATAGATACGGCAAATTTATTTTATCCTTCCCTTATTTTACTTTAAAATCATAAGCCATTAAACCATAGGTCATACTTCTTTCTGCAAAGCTTTTTCCATGATCAGCTGCTGTGTATCAGAAACACCCTTAATTTTGATCCATAAGAACATGCCAGCAGCAGGAGGGTACCATTCTGCCAAGTCTGGAAAGAAAGAGAGAGAAAGAAAAGAAAGGAATCAAGAAAGAAACTTCTGCCCCACCTTTTAACTGATAATCACAGATTCAGTGATGTTATAGATTTGTTGCCCCCGTGAGCAAAAAGGGAATGTGGGCCGCAGAGCCAGGATGCCACTTGCAAACTTTAAAGCACTCCAAACCCGTGTGGGCTTATTGCACTTGTGCTGGTAGCCTCAATACTTTTTATGAAAGTGTTTGCTCTGAATTACCGAAATCCCAAACACTACCAAATTGTATTTGTTGACTACTTGCAGATCAAATAAACAATCTACAATAATTTTTCTGATGCAGTTTCTCCTAATATCACATTGACTATCAATACAATTAAAAGTGTAGCAAAGTGCAAAACTGTTTTCCTTAAAGTTACAATGATTATAGATTTTTCGCCAAAGAAAAGGAGAGCCTAGGAGAATGGGAAGGCTTAGAGAGGATTTATGTCTTAAATTATATATGCAGACTGGATGTATACCTTTTTTTTTTTTACCTAGAATTCTTTATCTGGTTTTGGAAATTCTTTTGAAGAAACTATTTATTTCACTTGCCATCTTCTCCAGCTCTTCTTCATGTCTTTAACCATTGCATATCTACAAAATAAAGGTCCTTCTTCCATAATACTATGGCTCCTATTACTAGAAAACATGAAGACCCTACAGTCTTTTACACGTGAGTATATTCTCGTGATACACTTCAAGGTAGCCCAGTGCTATTACCCTGTTGGGATACTTGGGGAATTGTGACAAAGAGGCCCTACCTAGGTCAACAACCCATGGTTGTTCAGAGCCTTGCAGAAAAAGAAGAAATATTTCATATCTAAAAACCTGGAATTAGCAAAAGTAAGTTCATTAATGATTGTGTGGTACCCAGATACCCACGTCCCATGGAAGTATCATCAAAGGTAGGTGGGCAGTTCATAAGCAGTTATCGCTGATTCCATGTAGACTGACTAAAAGGAGTGAGTCACCGTAACTGCATTATTGCTGATCAAATCCTTTCTATGCTCTGTGATTAACCACAAAAGAGGACATTTGAAATTGATTTCTGACAAAAAAAAATTATCACTACTGCTATATTGTTTGCTTATGTACTTTTTTTAAATTAAGGCCACTAAATCTGGCTATTTCAGACAGAGATTTTAAAGACAGAGATTTTAAACATAAAAAGTATAAGAACGTAGTGGAGTGAAATAGTCGTTGTAAAATTGCTTTATACAGTAATGTGGTGAGTTTTTTTCTCATCACCATCTCCTTGTCCCACCAGAAAAGCATGAAAACAGCAGCACTACTTTGTCCTAAACTTAATATTTAATGATGTCATTGATTTGCTTATAGTCCTTATCTGTCCCTGCAGTCAAGAGATGAACCTCAGTGATTTTTCCTGAACACAAAGATGACAAATAGCTAGAAAAAAATCTAAGTAATTAGCTGTGTTGCACTCACTGACCTCTTAACCACTTGTCAGCAGCAATGAGCATTGCATCTCGCTGGGTCCTGTAAAACTCCACAACTCTGAAAGTAAATTATCAATTCAAAGTCATGATCCCATAGCGCTTCAGAGTCCATTTGTTTCCGAAGGCAGAAAGAAAGCTTTTCTACTTGAACAACCTAAGTGCACATTTAATGGAAATATGCGCATATCCCAGATGGGCCCAATAGAGCATACTGTGTCTATAAAGCTTTGCATGCGTATCAGAGAAGTCTTGAACGCTTCAGCACGTCTCCAGCAAAACACTGATCAACCAGACAGAGGAAGTGCCTGTGTGGCTGCTTCTGAAGCTTTACATGTATCATGGAAACCCTTTATATATTGTATTCATTCTGTCTATTATATCAGCGGACACAAGCCCTGTTAGCAGTATCTAGCACACAAACCAGGCACACTGAAGAAAATGAAGGACTTACACATGCGCAAAGGCACAGAGTCGGTATTTGTGCATTTGTGTTGAGTGTGTGTAATAGGTACACATGGAAATGATATTTCACAAGGTAAAAACCAAATCATACGATAAACCTGTCATGACTATGTGACAGCTTCCCTTTTTTGAAACTTTTGAACTTATCTACCTCTTTCCCACTGTAAGTAAAACTTGAAAATAATTCAATCTCTTACTGGGGAAAATGACCCTAACCCAAGTTTCAACACAGACAAGTCTTGGGCAGTGGCTTTTGTTAATATAAAATGAGACAGAGGTGTAGTAATTTGCATAATTTTACATTTAGATTTTTTTTTATACTCTCTGAACTAATAGCTTTGATTTCTGGATGTATTTTATTACACCTGATACCAAAGGGTTATATTGTTTTGGGACTCAGTTTATACCAATTGCTGCATTCTGCATAAAATGATGTATCTCACGCAGTTTTTACCACATCACGAATTCTGTTGCAAGTTTTTTTTGCCTTTCTGTTGTCATTTTACTTCCATGTTGGAATGAAATTGTGAGACAAGGCTTCCACCAAAGCGTAGCTGCTCCAAACAACAGGCTAGCCCCGACTCAGAAGCACAACCTAACAAGTCAACCTTGTCCAAATGAAATCACCTGGAAAAGACTGCAGTCTGCTGTTGGGCCTCATCAGTAAGTCACCTGACAACAGAGTCTAGAAGGCTATAATGGGCTGCAGCTACCCTGCTGCAGTGCTATACTCATTAGTCAAGTGGAACAGCAGTCTTCTGGCTTAGAGCAAGGATGCCTCTTGGACTACAAGCAGAAGGTAAGTGAAGAGATACATTTAGGATAGATTTTTCTAACTGCTGAAAGTTGAGCTAAAGTGTGGCCCAAGTTTCTCTGCAAAGCCTATCTTTGTGCTCCTCTTTCAAGGCAAAGATAGGACTGGTGTGTCTGTGTGTTATTTTTTTTTAATACTGGTGTTTACAGTGTGGACAACAGGCAGGTGCTCAGGGGACAGAAGTGGCTGCTACAGTTGGGTGTAAGAACTTCTTCTACACTTTGCTCACATTGCTGTTACCGGCCTCTGCAGAGTGTAGCACACTATTCACTGAAGTAGGAAGCTTGAGGTTCTAATGGCATCCAAGTATGGCATCTGAAATGAAGCACGGATACTTAAGAGAAACTATGCTCCTCCAGGATAACAAATGAACAGCAAATGCGTGTCAGTCAGTGTGTAAGAAATGCCTTGCTCAGACCTTAGCTCAGCGCTCTGTCTCCAGGAGTGGTGACAGAGGCAATGTTTAGCAACTGTAGGTGAACTCTCTGCTCTCTGTAGTTCTTTCCATCAGTATCCACAATCATTAGATTAAGGGTGTTAGAGGGTGAATCCCTGCTGAGTTAGTGAGGGAAGAACTTCCTTTACAGAAGCTACACTGACTTTTTCTCAGCAGATTATGTGCTCAGCGATCTTAGCCTTTGCTATAGACCGTACTACGTTAGCAGGGATGAAAACCTTATTCACCAACTCGGAGCTCCCAGGATCTTTTTGCGTTCCCTTTAGAGGGGAGCTGCATAACGGCTGTGCCAGTAAACTGGCAGATTGTCAGTCCGTAGTGGTAGTTTACATGCCCTGACCTGCATGTCTGCAGCTTCACACAGAGCTCCTCCGGCACTCCTGTGTGAATGCTGTCAGTCTTGGTGACCTGGCTTATCCATCTGGCCTCATGCTGATGTGCCTCCTCTGGCCCGTTCACTGCAAAGAATGTTTTGTGTAGGTAGCAAGGAGAAGAGTGACAGATGATGGGGTTCAGCATATGACATGACCCTACCTGTCTATATGCTCCAAGAAACCCTTTTCTCCCCATTGCTGAAGCAGCTGTGATATCATAATCTAAAGAAATAAAACAAATCATCAATACCATATTTTAAACAGGACTGTTCCGCAGTCACCAAAAGATATATAGCCTGATGCATTACTGAAAATTCCACACAGGCAAGAAGTTCCATGCGGGGTCTCTTGGAGCCCTTTATAAACAGAGGTGGCAACAGCAACAGGCTGTTGTAGTCCATGTTACTGCTGTCACCAAGGATCATGGCAGTGTTTGGAAGTTGGAGCAGGGGAGGGAAGAATGGATGGAGAGCTAAATATGGTAATCAGGGAGAAAAAGGAAGGCAAAGTTATATTGCTTTACCTTCCTGCCCATATCAGCCTCTGTGCTTTTATACTGCCTCTATGATGAACTAATGGAGTTGCAAGATGGAAGCCATATTTAGATGTGCTCAATGTCTCCTTTCCTTATTACTAATTATACAGGGACTGTAGTTGGCAGCCTGCTTTGTAACATCTCTGTGGGCTGCCAGTATTGTTCTAATTGCAAAGCAGAATGAAAAATAGAAAAAACCTAAGTGCTTCCAATGTACCTTTACATTGAGGCTTCTCAAGTGAACTTACTAGCAAGAGATACAAAGTATTTTAAATCCTGATTCTTGAAATTTAAGGGTTAAGGGCATATTAGCTGTACTTTCAGTGCACTGAGACACCCTCTAGCTCTGGCTGTAATTTTTTTGATGGTCTCTCTTCTGTTGGCAGAGTTGACAACGCATGTGCTTATCATAAACAAAACTGTGAAAGTGCAGAGCAACTGCAAAAGCGCAAAGCTGTTCATTTTTTGTTTCTTATCACTCGAAATATGTTATCTTCATTAAATGTAATTCAGTTGGCAGTTTGGTACTTGCCTGTGTGAAAGTGCTGGTGTGCATTGTTGAAACCTGAATGTGCAGAATAACTCTGTCGATAAGAGGCTTGGGACCTGTAAGAAAGCCTATTCTTAACCTAGAGGAAAAAAAGAAAAAGTTACGACAAATGCAATGTGCTAATACTGTGTGTGAGTTATGGTTTAACTTGTAACTGGGAAAACCTGTAACCATTTCATTGATACTGTAAGGATCTTTCATGCATTACATTTATCTGTATCTTAATACTGCCCTAAGCCCCAGGTTTATGCAACTTATGAGCTGAGTATCAAAGTCATGAAATACAAACATTTAAAGGCTTTTAATGCTTATAGTTGCTTCTTAGTTCTGAGACTTCAGGATATATCCCACATTTGTAAGCTTTCCTCTGCAACCATAAAGATTACATGAATCAAAGGGAAGAAAAGATAGGTTTTCACATGATGAAAAATCATGAATGCTCAGGCTTTATGAAAAACAGACGGGAAATGGCAAACAGCTTTACTCTTTCACTCCCTTTCAGTACTGCAGAATAAACAGAATTTAGATTGATAAACCAGATTCTTATTCATGCTTCAATGCTTATGACCCATCTTTACAGATTGGCTGAAGTTTTTCTTTGAAGAAAAACAGAACCAGTAAGCTCATATGCATCTTTGACAAAGATAAAATTGCATCATGCCTTTTTGCAGTATCACTTCTGAAAGTGCAATCAAACTTAGCATCATATTGTCTCCTCCCTTTCTCAGGGATGGGGTTATAATCCACTAGCTGCCAGGGCAGAAGTCACATTACTTTCTTATATATATATATGTATAAGTGAACTTACTGTAAACAAAAGCAAGTTAAAAATCAAATATGTTGACTTGTGTGAAATGGAAAACAGCCAGCTTAGTTTTTCAGGCAGGTGGAAACAACCTGAAAGAACTTTAAGGCTAGAAGACGAGAGATCAGTATAACCCTATGAATAGTTTGTGGAGAATGATGACATCATTTCTCTTTATTACAAGTTCAAGGAGTCTGTAGGAATGGTAAGAGATGGGAGAAATGGAAAAAGAAGAGAGAAAAGCTCCTAGGAGTTCCAGGAACAGAGCTAGAATGCAGCACCTGTTTTTCTGCCTATATGGTGCCTGGGGAGAGCGGCTTAACTATCAGTACCAAAAGAGCAACAGAATCTGGAGTTAAATGGCTGCCAAGAGATGACATGAAAAGTGAGCAGACTGAGAAAATCTGTGGATCCAAAAGTACATTCCAGAAATGGATAGGTATTAGATGAAAAAACACTGACATGTCTGATCATTTTGTATGAAGTCTTGTGCCTTAACTGAACAGGCAATGCTGAGCAGTCTGAAGCTGGCCTTACCCAGATGAGAGAATTTTAGAGAAAGAGTCGGTCCTGATAACTCGGCCATCCACATCCATTGAGAGGAAAGTTGGAGCCCATGGCTTGGAAGAAAAATAAAAAAATTAAATTCAAGGTGCTAGTAAGGATTGACGGAATTATTTTCTTTACTATGACAACATAATTAATTCCTTAAATAGTTTGATAGTAAAAATTTTACGGATGCACATTCCAATAAAAAACTTGCTGACAAGTGATTGTTTAGGCTAGCTGTCCGAGATGTGATTACAATATTCTATGAAAATCATCAAGAAATCAGCTTTGTTATTTTTTGCTTAGCCCACTGTTAGGCATGCCAGTGTTCAGTTCAAGTTTTGGTATGATGCCGTAAGTAGGAGAGAAATAATGATATCTCTGCCAGGATTTTTTTATGGAGTAAACAGAAAGACACTGTAATTTCTAAGACAGGGGCCTGTAGCTCTTAACTTTATTTTTAAAAAAGGAAATCAAGATATGACCAGATTTTAGTGATCTGAGTTCAGCACACTTTTTTCCTTATCAGGATTTCTACTTTTACACCTTCTCCCCTTACACTCTCTAACAGAGATACACACTGCCATTTAATTAGCAAGTGAAGTAGTTTTATTGCCTCCTCCCATAAAAACTACTTCAAAATAGAAAATACTGAACTTTAGCTTCTACCAATGTTTTGCTGCTTTATAAGACCAGCTTTTACTCCTGAAGTTGGGTACTTTTGCAGACTATGCAACTGTAGATCCATTTGTGAAGACAGGTCAACACTCCATTGTTACCCATTTGGGGAAAATCTACGTGAAGAAGGGAAGGTGCCTATCCAGTACTAGTTCCTGTGGTATGTGGGAGAACTCCAAAAGCCAAAGGGGTAAAAATAGGATACAAGTAGACTGGCAGTAGGCAGTCTTTCACTGAATGAGAGAAGAGACTGGGCTGAAGGGAACATTAGGAGGCTGCTATTTTCAAGGGCTGCTTCAGTGGCATACTTGTTTTGCTCTGGAGGCAATGTCTTTGCCATTTTCTGACTATTGAAGGAAATTCTGTCCTGTGTAAGGCTTGAGGAATTTGAACCACTCATTAACAGGACTGATGCAATAAAATGCCACAAAGGGACAACAACTGAAAGTAGCATAGACTGTGAGGCCTGCAGCTACCTTGGTAGTACATGAAGAATGAGCATGCAGGAAGATGCATGGCTCAAACCTCAGTTCTCTCCTGGACCAGAAAAGAAGGTGTTAAGAAGAATGGAAGACAAATTACCTTTTCAAACTGAAGAAAGTAGTAAGGATCATCTTCTATTATGAGGAAATCATACTTTCTTGCAAGCTAAAGAAATGAATAAGAAGTAACAATTCGTTAAAACATAAAGATACTGTAAATTTAGTCCTTCCTATACCCCTGGCCTATTACCAGGACCATACTATGATCCTATGGATTGCTCATTCTCTGTATACAAAGGCCCATCAAGAGAAGCTTTCAAATGCCCAATTTAGACATCAAGCAATTATAAGAGTAAACATGGCACCTGCAGTACAGGGACACATGTATATAACTGAAGGTCTGCTCCACATAGCGGTCAAACTGCAGAAAACTTGGAGTAAGTCCAGTTTGAAGCCCACGGCGAAGATACCAGCCAGCAAAGGGCTACTATTGCAAAAACAATTTATCTAATGCATAGCTCACCTCTGAAGAGTTGTCATGAAAGAGGTTCTGCTAGAAAAAAGCTCTAGGAAGAATGTCTACTGGACCAATAATGGGCCCAAATACCACACACAGGGTATCATCAACTGCAGAGATTGACATTTATCCATTTCCACCTACAAGGTTCACAAGGCCCCAGCTACATACCTGGTAAATCTCCTTTTTGCGCTCGGCTGTTAGAGAGTTTCCAGTTGGGTTGCAGCCGTTTGGAATAGTGTACAGGAATTTGGGGAGGTGGTGGCTACGATTTTTTACATCTTCTGAGCTCCAAGCAGACAGAATTTCTTTCAGAGCTTTTGGAATAATGCCATGTTGGTCACTAGGAACATTAATTATGTTACAACCCAAAGGTCTCAGCTGTTGATAGGAGGAACAGAACTGTCAGAATCCTGTAATTCAAAGGTCTTCCTTTTGTCATTGGACTTGTAAAGTCTCAGTGATACACAGTCATTCTGACTTTACAGCTATCTCAAACTCCATTTGCTCGTGATTCAAAAGAAAGTTTGCCTGAAATTGCTGTGAAGCGTGTCAAACTTGCCACATTACTCTTTGCCCTGTTAAGCCAACTGAGAAGAAATGGGTAGGCTCCTATATCCAATTGTTGCTCTTCTCTAGGAAATAACACATGGCTTTGCAAGCAAAAAGGGATTTTGTGAATTTGAACTGTGTTCTCTCCGGACTTCTCACGCTCTCGCCACACACAAGAAGTTCACAGCACCTTCATTTCCTACTGACAATTTACAGTCTACTTCAGTGGAAGTGTCAGAACTATAAGCTACTCTTCACTGACAAAAGGGCAAAGAATTTGTTCTCAAAAGATACATTCAGCAATACAGAGGAGAATGAAATGATGCTACTGAAATGACACGTTGACAGCACTATGAAAAAATATAGGTGAAATACCAACAAAAAGCCTGCTGTCTTCCCTCTGTGGAATTTCAATTTGTACCATGTAGTGCTCTGCATTATTAAGTAAAAATGCAAGTTGCTGCATTGTCAAAATGTATTCCTAACAAAGTATATTTGATTAGACAAGGTATACTCAAACTTACACAGCAAACAATAACAAAATTCCTTTTGATGCAAGGGGAGACTAGACTGGATTTGTGCTGTATTATCTATCCTAACCCTCCTTACAGTTCTTATGCATTTTGAGCTCATGTTTAATACCATACTGATTAAATTACTGTTCAGAAGTAAACTTTGATATGTTTGTATATTCTTACTAATTCACACCCTCACACTCGTATCTGGATGTTTCAGGCCTATTCCAGTTTTATACTATTTATAGCTATGAATACTCAGACCATGAAATACTTCAGGTGATGGGCTGACATGTTGAAATACCCACTTGTTATAAATTTGCTTCAACCTGACTAGGTTGTGATGACTTGCTTTCCAATTCCAAATGTGACCTTAGCTCTTGAATGAACTAGGATTTGGAAGACAAACTTCTGTCCTGGGAATAGCTTTTATAGAAGTCCTAGCAGAAAGGCTTTTTTGAATTAATATTTATGAACTTAACTGGACTAACACGAAAAACTTGATTCTTAGACATGTGTTTGCAGTAAATACAGACAGTGTATATAAGCCTGCAGATCAGGTACTAAATTACTGTTTAATTCAAATATAACATTCACAATATTTTTTTAGCTAAAAAATACTTACAGCTGCTAGTGTTCCAGAGTATGTAGGTGCATCCAAAAGGATGTTGTCCCCAGGATTAATGAGCATTTCAAACACCTGTGAAAGAGAAGAGTCTATTGTAGAAAGGAAAGATTGTGCCATTCTTGTACACGTGCCTCATACTTCTGACTTCTTAGTGGGACTAAAAATCTCGATTAGACGTTAGTATTTTCTGAACCATTTAATTATACTGTCTGAGAAATGCAATGACCAGATGAAAAATCTGCTTTAGAGCCAAACGAAGCTTGGTAATCAGCTAGAGAATATGGAAAGACAGCGCTCTATAGCAGAAACAGTGCTTCAGTTACACAAAGGAACAACTAAGAAGCTGTGAGTGGACTGGAGAGGGTAATTATTTAAGCAAGTCTAACATCATTAGAATTGAGTTACAGTAAAGCAAGTAATGTACCTATGTACTTACTACACTACTTGAGTAACACACAATGTTAGCTTATAGCATATTTTCTGACAGGCTCTTTGGTTGACCTGAACATTCATGCAGTCCTGACAGATTAGACTGCCACACCAGTTTTATTTCAGGTCTATTATCTCCTATTGCTAATAGTGCGAGACACATATTTAACAAACTACCCTGTATGTAGTTATACAGTAACACTTCTTGCCAAGTATAACTGAACTGACAGAAGAATAAATATATGTCTGAGATACAAGCATTTAACATATGAAGTTTTTGTCCTTACTTTACACAAGCCTTCCTGGCTGCCGGTTGTGACACACACTTCCATTTGTCCTTGCTCAGGACTGTAGTTGGCTGTGGGGGGATTATGTAGATTCTGCTGGAATTCCTTTAGCCAAGACAACAGCTCTGGAATCCTGAAATGCAAATAAAATAAGGTGTATCTAACATATAGGTTGAAGCTAGGCTATTCCTCTAAATCATAGAACCTCAAAATAGTTTGGGTTGAAAGGGACTTTTTAGAGGCCATCTAGCCCACCGCCCCTGCAGTGAGCAGGGACATCTTCAACTAGACCAGGTTGCTCAAATCCACATCCAACCTGGCCTTGAATGTTTCCAGGGATGGGGCACATACCACCTCTCTGGGCAACCCATTCCAGTGTTCCACCACTCTCATTGTAAAATATTTCTTCCTCATATCCAGTCTAAATCTACCCTCTTTTAGTGTAATACCGCTACCCCTTGTCCTAGCCTAAATCCCTGCCAAATCTAGCACACAGTCCTGAGTCTGATTTCAACTTGCACAGATATGCTTAGATGCTGATTTTATGACTGCTTTATCGAATGATGACATGAGACAAATGCTTCTTATGGAAAAGCAGAAGAGATGGGCATCCATGGTCCATACACCAAATTAACATACTGAAATATGGGTGAAATGATTCACCAAGGATGGAATAGGGGTGGAAGCTGAACAACATCAACCCCTAGGAGTGATTTTTCCATATTTAGATGTGGCAGTGTGACAAAGCCTGCTCGTAATGGGCTGCAGATAAGATTTCTGAAACAGATTTTTCAAAAAATGTCTTAAGATCTTGTAGGATGTTCACAAATGGCTGGGTTCATTTAAATATTAAGAAAAGTCTTAACTTCACTGATTAATGCCCTGTGTGCATTAATGTGTAGGTACCTAAATATTTTTACAAGCCTGAGTCAGTGCTGTCTGTTGGGGAAGTTCACAAGTGCTAAAGTAACTTATCATACAATCATTAAGGTTGGAAAAGACCTCTAAGATCATCAGGTCCAACCATGACGTAATGAGATGTAATTTTTGTATGGAAAATGACAATACTATAAATACCTCCAACTACCACAAGTAGTACATACTGACTTTACTATATGGTACCAAACGAGACCAAAACAAATACTCCAGAATGTGGAAACTATGTATTGCAATGCAGTATCTTTTAATGAATACCTTATTACAACACACAAAATTATTCCTCCTAGTGATTTCAGAGTCTGGATTCTCAAATACTAACAGTTAGGAAATGCTCTGGTCTGAGAACTACTAGTATTAGTGTTTTCTATAAATTAGTAACCTGTTTAAAACTTTCCACTTAAACTGAAATGTAAATAGTGAGGCAAACTGAAAGAAGTTAAACCTGTTTTTCTAAATCTGTTTTACAAACAGATTTTAAAACCATGGGTGAATTAATGGAATAATACAAGATTTTATGATCCTTTGATTCTGGTATCTCGAACTGCAAGCAGCCCTGATGGATACCCTGCTGAGGCCGAGTACTGGAGAGCTCTCTTCATCAGATCTTCCCCAATCTCAACAGCAGTCCCATGTCCAATGGCAACAGTAGCCCTCTTAAATGGAAAAACATTAGGGTTTGGTGCCCCTCCAGCCAGAGAGATGAGAGATGGAGGAGACTTCTGCATCAATTCAGCTAGAGTGAAAGGAAAAAAAACGTGGTTACAATTTGATTATTGCAACACTGATCATATCCTTTAGTCAGTATATAATAATGGTTCAGAGAAGCTTGTTCCATTTCTCACTTTTTAAGAGTCAGGAATTCCAAAGGATGCCAATTCTTTTTAAACTTGCCTTTCTACTTGGGTTAAATGCGGGGGGACACATGTGTGGGACAGACCAAAACAAACAATCACCTTTGTTTTAAAACAAATTATAAATAGCTTTTTGATCTTATCTGGACTGTCCTACTACTGTAAAAACTTTTCCTGTGACTGTCTTTTAAGCTTCAAGAATTTAACATCTTAGTGACCTTCTGTTTAGATTGACTTGGATCGATTGGCTTTGTTTTCTTTTCAGTCTCACTTTTGCTGACGTGGCAGTAGTGCAGCTACACTGATAGTTACATCTATGATTATAGCTTTTCCATAAGGGAGTGGGAATGTTTCTGGCAGCCCAGCTTTAGTGACAAAGGCACTGCGCAAATAATTTGGTATGAAGATAATGTTAGCAACTCTCGCTTTAAAGTCACAGTTCCACAATCACTGGGATCCAATCTATGCAGCACAGACTGGACCTTAATCCAGCAAGGGCACTTGACTGCAGTAAGTCTAAGAGCTCACAATATGGCATTCATGATGGCTTGACACTTTTACATCAGATATGAGAGGACAGATGATACCAGCTCTGCCTTAAAGCATCCTGTTATCAAGTTTATTCTCTGCTACTTATTAGCAAACTTCAGCATGGGGAGTTAATTCTTATCAGTTCAGCAATACGGGTCATGTCTATGACTTTTGGTCTGGCAAAGAGATTTGTAATCAAAACTGCAGCCTCAATGTGTCTTTCTGCACAAGCTGTGCTACTTAACGTTTGTGCTATGATGCATGTCAGTGTATCACTTGGAAAAAGTAGAGAGACTGACTAGAGTGAATTACTTGACTTAGCTGCACCTGCATGAGGCATTTTAAGCAGAACAGCAAATGCCAGCCCCTTACCAAGAGAGGAAATTGACCCCTGAAGGCTTAACTAGTGATGTATGTCTCATGCTCTGATTCTGTCAGGTCTCTGTAGGTTTCAATTGAGTAAACAAGTAGGCAGTTAACCTTTTCTGTCTGTCACACAGAAGGCTATGCAACATGGTAGCCTAAAGATAGCATAATATAGAAAAGGAAAGTGTAGTAACACTGAGGGGGTGGATGTGGTGAGGAATTTATAGACATTAACAAGACACGGGAAAGCTAGGTGGAAAGAAGCATTATGCTAGGACTGAATTTCAAGTTATTAGCAGTTGTGTATTTTTGGACAATCAGTGTAAATTCAGCAGCAAACTAAAGCCCCGCTTCAGAGGCTGTAGCAGAGATTATTTTTTTTTCAGGCACATGTTGAAATGACAATATTATTTCTTCTGTCTGGATGGGTTTCTGAAATTGTTCAAGGCTACTCACTTTATTCTTTATACCTGCTTGACATCTCGACTTGACGAGTCAAACGAATTAACTGGCCTTGCTTGGCAGCTGACAGCACAGTTTTCCTTCGAGCCTTTTGTAGTCTTTAGCCACAATACCCCAGCAAAGTCCAGAAAGTAGAACGATACCCTTCCAGATAACCTGTGAAGAACAGGTGTATACTCACTCAGAAGCCTTATTGGAGATGCTTGTCTTGCTGCGCTCACGGTGGTGATGAATCGAGAGTAATTCATATCTATGGGGAAAGAGCAATTAGGTGGACATGAAGCTGGAAAAGCAAATAGAACTCCTGTGCTTTTTGGTATGTGCATCTCCCACAAGTAACACTTCCAGTTCATCACCTCCATAGCTGTGCTCTATCATAAACTAAATGTCAATTCATTCATGTTAAAATGAGTGCTGGAATTTATTTTCCTTTTTGAATTCAGGGAAAAGGCTTCTACTTCACACTCACAGGTTCTGTCACTGCCTCTCAGTGAGATCGGTGCAGAGTGACCAGGCCAGATTCTGCTGTTCTGACAAACACAACCAGCGGCCCAGCTTTGATCTGGGGGATCTGCAGGTCTGTGGTGAACAGCAAAAAGCCTTTTCTCCCTCCCTTCACTGCCAGCTGTGGAGTTTTAAAGGCAGATCACAAATCTGAAGATCTGACAGATCTTAAACACCTGTCAGCTCTTTTTTAATGACAATCCAGCCTTATTTAGCTGTATTAAACATTGCATTTGAAGCACTGTAACGACTGCAAGCCATCATTACAAGTCAGAACACCTGTCAAGTCAGGGTGCTTTTTTTAGGAAGGGTAATTAGGACTGTCTTTCAGAACGCTTCAGATGAGCGTTTTGCTCCTCTTCCCTGGTGCCCGCAGAGATTCAGCGGCCAGCGAACCGCAGCCCGGCGGGCAGCAGCTGCAAGGCCTATCCTGGCGATCCGCTCCTCCCGGAGGAAGGGCGGCACAGGAACGAACCGACGGGCCGACAGCCCCCGTCCTTCTGACCGCCGCTTCCCAGCCTGCACTCA